AAAAAAAAAAAAAACCACTGTTGATGAACATATGATGGTCTCTTCCTTGAAAGCAAAAGCACTTCAAAGCTCAGTCATATCCAGCAGATCACAGACTTAAATAATTTTAAAATTGGAGTGATTATAAGGGTCACCTATTCTAATCTCCTTGGTTTATATATACAGAAAGTAGGTGAAGTGACTTTCACACAGGTAATAAGCTGTACATAAAAAGACCTAGGGAAGCAATTTAAGGAAGTGAACTAGGAGGTTTTTTTAACGCATATAATGAAGTTACTTTCTTGGTTACATTCAAATCTATTTTAAGTCTAGTCCCTGAGAAATAAGATTGCACAACGCTCCTCAGCTAAAAACCAACAGGAGATCTTAATTTCCGTTTCCATAGTCACAAAAACTGACCCTGACCTCTCTCCACAGAATTATAGCTAGTCATCAAGCCCCATGAGAACCCAAACTATGTTCCCATCCTGTGACTAAGGTTAAAAGGACTACCCCTCCTCCAACTTTCCCCTGAGACATCTGGCAACTTCTATGCGTATCTGTTTTGATTATGTAGTATGGATCCTTTTGCTAATAGGAACAGAAAATAGAAAAATATGTGAGAAGTGGGTAGAGACAGGAATCTTTTTGAAAACAAATTGATTATATTTCCATTACCAAAACTGTTTCTTTACTGTTACACTCAATTTTTTTCCTTTTAGATTTATAAAGACAGCTGATATCTGTAATCCTAACCTTCCTAAGAACATAGTTCTTTATTAGCAATGGGATTCTATTTCTGTAATTCAGTTTCTATTTCTGCCAACAATGCACAAGGAATTCCCAGGTTTTAATAGTTATAATCTTCTTTTGATTAGTCCCACTTTGAGTAAGGCTTTTGTGAATTAGGCATGTTTTAAAATTAACTTTTCAGTAATCTGGCTATAAAATTAGAAATACATTACTGACCTCACAGGGGTGCCTGTGAGAGTGAAGAAATTACAATGTGACAGAAAAGTAGGAATCATCCTGAAAGAGAAAGAATGCTAATCACTTCCAATTTCACCAAAGTTATTTTGTTTATGAGAGCAATATGATAAAAAATATATTACTTTACACTTAAAAATGATTAATATGTTTTTAGCCACAATTAAAAATAAATTTTTAAAAATTACCTTCCTTTGATAAACAAAATACGGTATATACATATAATGGAACATTATTCACACTTAAAAGGGAAGAAAATTCTTATTTCTTTTTAAAAATTTAAGTTTTAAGTTTTATTATTTTTATTTATTTTTTTATTATGTTTTTCAATGTTTCATTTATTTTTGAGAGAGAGAGAAAGAGAGAGAGAGTACAAGCTGGGGAGGGGCAGACAGAGGAAGACATAGACTCCAAAGCAGGCTCCAGGCTCTGAGCTGTCAGCACACAGCCTAACATGGAGCTCGAACTCGTGAACCACGAGATCATGACCTCAGCTGAAGTCGGATGCTCAACCGACTGAGCCGCTAAGGCGCCCCCAAATTTTAATTTTTTAAATTCAAGTATAATTAACAGTGTTATAATAGTTTCATGTATACAATAGAATGATTCTACAATTCTATACATTACTCAATGTTCACTGGTAAGTATGTTCTTAATCCTCTTTACCTAATTTCACCCACCTATCCGTGGCAACCACCAGTTTGTTCTCTGTATTTAAGATCCTGTTTTTTGTCTCTTTTTGTTTGTTCTTTTGTTTCCTAAGTTCCACATGTGAGTAAAATCATATGGTATTTGTCTTTCTCTGATTTATTTCAATTAGCACTATACCCTCTAGGTTTGGTCATGTTGTTGCAAATGGCGAGATTTCATTTTTTTTTATGGCTGTGTAATATTCCACTGTGTATATACACACAATGTATACACATATATACATATATATATTACTTCTTTATATAATATACAGTATATGTATATATACACATACATATTGTACATGTTACTTCTTTATCCATTCATCTATGGAGGGACACCTGGGTTCCTTCCATATTTTGGCTACTATAAATAATGCTACATTAAACAAAGGGGTGCACTCCTCTTTTTCAAATTAGTGCTTTTGTATTCTTTGGGTAAATACCCAGTAGTGGAATTAGTGGGTCATATAGTAATTCTATTTTTAATTTTTGGGGGAACATCCATACTGTTTTCCACAGTAATTGCACTGATTTTCAGTCCTACCAATAGATGGGAAGTGCACAAGGGATCCTTCTTCTTCACATCTAAAAAAGAAGGAAATTCTGATACATGCTACAACATGGATGAATCTCGAAGACATTATTCTAAGAGAAATAAGACAGATACAAAAGGATAAATATTGTATGGCTCCTCTTTTATGAGGTAGTCAAATTAATAGAGTAGAATAGTGGTTACCAGCAACTGGAAGGACTGGAGAATGGCAAATTATTGTTTCATGGGTATAGTGTTTTAGTTTGGGATGATAAAAAGGTTCTGGAGATGAATAGTAGCTGTGGTTGCATAAAAATGGACTTTATGCTACCGAGGTGTACGCTTAAAAATGGCTAAACCAGTAAATTTTACCACAAGAAAAAATATTACCTTGAAGGTCTCCAATCATCTCAGAATCATGACCTCTGTCTCTTCGTTCAGCTTCTAACACAGCTTGCAGCTGGTAATAGTCTTTGTCCATTTGTGTCTTGGAATTCTCTAAAATTCTATTTCTCTCCTGCAATTCTCTGTTTAAGGACTCTAGCTGACTAATTGACTTACTCATCTCTGTGTGACTCTTCCTTAATCTTACAGCTGTGTCTGATTCTGTCCTAAGTAAGTCATTGGCTTCTTCTAGCTATTAAAAAAAAAAAAAAATAGTGAGAGCAAGAAAATAGGTTGTTGACCAAAATACAATCAAATTTACTTTAATTAATTATAATTTTAAACAGCTTAGTTAAAAAACTCACCTGCTTTTGTAACTGTGTCAGCTTCTCATTAGCAAGCTGTGAATTCTGACTTACTTTCTTTAAGTCTTCTAACTGATCCTTTAATGTAGAAACTAGAAAATGAAGAAAAAATGTAGAAATTAGAAAGTTATTATAGAGGAAACATGTAAGTACCTTAAAAAACTATTGTAGCCATAGTCAGCTACAATAGGTCCACTCCCAAAGTCATATTTCATCATGGAAGTACTTATATTTAAATTCAACAAAAAGTACAGCATTGTTTTACAATATAGACCGCAACAGATTTGTTTTCAGCCTTGTAATAATTAAATTCTTTTTTTTTTTTTAATGTTTACTTTTGAGAGAGAGAGAAACAGAGCATGAGCTGGGGAGGGGCAGAGAGAGACGGAGACACAGAATCTGCAGGCTCTGAGATGTTAGCACACAGCCCAAAACAGGGCTCGAATTCATGAACCGTGAAATAATGACCTGAACCTAAGTCGGACACTCAACTGACTGAGCCACCCAGGTGCCTCAATATTTAAATTCTTTATTCTGTTAATAAGCTCAATCTACTAGTGAAATATAATAAAGCTAGTTCTAGTATTATTTATTTTTGAATAGCATAAATCTTTGAATATCTAAAGATCTAAAAAACAGTTCGAAATTCAAAAGTACCAAATGGTCTTAGTGTAGGATAAGCTTTCCTCCCTCCATAGTTTCCCAGTCCTTCTGGTTCTCCTCCCAAGCAACAACTATTACTAATTTCTTGCATATGCTTCGTAAGACAGTGTATGTGTCCATACCCTCATACATAAAAACACACAAAATATGTATTTTTCCACATCTACACACACACTTAAGCATATACAGACAAGCACTCTCATTTTAAACAATACTATTTTTTTCACTTAAAAGTACACCTTAGCCATAATGCTACAATGAATACCTTGTTTATATATCAGTGTGCATGTGCACAAGTGTATACATAAATTAATTCCTAGAAATGAATCACTGGATCAAGGGTATAGAAAGATATTTTAAATGTATTTTTAACACTAATATGAAAAAAACATGAAATTTTAGTTAATAATTCTCAAATTGCTGCTTGTAAGAAATTGCCTAGAGAGCTTATAAAAAATACCAAGGCCCAGGCCACATGTTTAGATCAATTCAATTAGAATTTCAGAGGTTAGGCATGAAATTAGTATTCTTTAAAGCTTTCCAAGAGACTCCAATATGCATACAAGGATGAAAATCACTCTTTTAGCTAAAACAGGACTACTGACTTTTTTTTTTTTTTTTAATTTTTTTTTTCAACGTTTATTTATTTTTGGGACAGAGAGAGACAGAGCATGAACGGGGGAGGGGCAGAGAGAGAGGGAGACACAGAATCGGAAACAGGCTCCAGGCTCTGAGCCATCAGCCCAGAGCCTGACGCGGGGCTCGAACTCCCGGACCGCGAGATCGTGACCTGGCTGAAGTCGGACACTTAACCGACTGCGCCACCCAGGCGCCCCAGGACTACTGACTTTAATATGTTATACATTTATCTTGGAACATGGTTAATTAAGTCATGAGGTGTCCTAGGACTGTGACTTCAAAAATATATCATAGGCCCTAACCTTAAGACACCTCATGACAAAGACCTCAAGTATAGTGTTAGCCAGAAATTTCAGTGTTTTTCAAAAGCAGAAACAGTTTACCTTCATTTTCTACATTTCTCCTCTTCTCATTTTCCTGTTCTACTTTTCTTTGGTACTCATTAATTCTATGCTGTAGCAACATTTTCTCTTTCTCAATCTGAGACACTGTAGACTCTAGGTTTCTTCTTTGATTTCCCTGTAAACATAATGATAAAAGTCACCACTGCAATTAAACTCTTTATTTATTTAGAAGAATACTATATTCTTTTAAAATAAAACACACAATGGGGTGCCTGGGTGGCTCAGTTGGTTAAGCATCTGACTCTTGATTTTGGCTCAGGCCATGATCTTCCGGTTCATGAGATTGAGACCTGTGTCAGACTCTGTGCTGTCAGCTTGGGATTCTCTCCCTCCTTCCCTCTCTTTCTCTCAAAATAAATAAATAAATTAAAAAAAAAAAGAAGACTTAAGATGGATTTTTTTTGGTTTCAAAATCAGAAAGTACCTGTAACGACAACTTTCTAAAAATAGAATTAGCTTGCTTTATAGGAAGACTGAGAGAACCCCCTTATTCAAACTAGATATGGAAAATTTTCAGATTTTTAAATCCATGAATATAAAAAACTACGAATCTTATCAGAAAGCTGCTTTATTAGTTTAAGATGACCACACTGCATTCCATTACCAATATTTTGGTTTATTTATAATCCTAAATTAAAGATATAAATATGAAAGATAATAATTACACATTTGATAATTAAATGGTGCAAAACTCAAATGGTACCAAATGCTAGTGTGTGTAGTAAGTTCACTAGTCCCTATGTGTCTCCTTTAGTCCTCTTCCTGTCTCAACAACTTACCTTTTCTAAAATGTTCTATGTATCTACCCACTAACGCATATTTAAAAAGTAATGAAGGAGACACTTACTTTAGAAAATAAAACTGTAGGGGAGGGGAGGGTTAAAGAAAAAAAAAATAGCCAAACCTTCACAACTTAAAAATTTATCTTTTTTTTCTGAGTTACCACTTCCATATCGTGCTTTTGAAGCTTCATTTTTTTAAGACTCCACACTGGGAAAATCTCCGTTACGGTGTTTTTCTGGGCTTTCCCATCATTAGGCAAAACTCATGTTTTAAGGACGATGCTGTTAGGTTTAGTAAAATTTGCAGAGATCATTCAAGATCTTTCTAATTCTGAGATTTTATCATTCTAACTTTAATTCTTTTCATTTTTAAATTTTGATTTCAGGAAGTTGCAAAGATACCACAGAGAGGTTTCTTGTACTCTTCCACTCCGTTTCCCCTAATAGATACATTTTATGTAACATCAGCACAGTAACAAAATCAGGAAATTGATACTGCTATAAGGTATGTATGTTTCTGTTATTTTAGCTTATGTGTAGATTCATGGAACCACCACTGCAATCAAGATACAGAACTGTTCCATTGGCACAAGATCTCCTTCCAGCCAGCCACTACTTAAGAGCTTAGAAGCTGCCCTTCTCCCACCACCCACATTCCTGGCAACCAGTAATAGGTTCTCCGTGTGTGTAATTTTGACTTTCTTTGAGAATACGGTATTAATGGAATCACACAGTATGGACCTTTTGGGAATGGCTTTTTACACTCGATATAATGCCCACAAGATCCATCCAAGTTGTTGTGTGTATCAATAGTTCATGCCTTTTTGTTGCTGAGTAGTACTCCATGGTATAAATGTATCAAAGTTGGTTCAACCATTCACCTATGGTAGGACATTTTGATTATTTCTAGTTTTTGGCATTACAAATAAGGCTATTATGAACAACAGTATACAGGTTTTTTAAGGATATAAGTTTTT